TGGGAGACTCCTCCCTACCTTGCCCTTGCGGCCATACGGTTGAGAGCAAGAGGAACTCAGGGCATCCAAACCCCAAACTCCTGGGCTTGGGCCTGCACATAGGATGCCTACCAAAGGATGTGGAAACATCTGAAGCTCCAGGCAGGGGTGGCGCATGCTTGCTGTAGCAGGGCCACATCTGGGGCTTGAATTACTCATGGATTTGGAATTGATTTGGCTGATTTGGCTTGGAACATGAAACATTTTCCTTACAAAAAAAAATCAGCTGGCAGGAAAAGGGCTTAGGGGGTGGGACATCTAGTCCCAAGATGGTGACCAGGGGGTGGGGCACCTGTCAAAGGGCGGGGCTACCCTTGTGGCCCTCCACAGCTCACCAAATCTCATCAAGTGGCACTCCACCCAAAATAACTGCCTGCTCCTGGTCTACTCAGAAAAATGTGACCCATAATGGATCAGGAGAAGCCACTGGACCAATAGTTTCTGACCAGTTGGTTGTGGGGTGGCTTTTCCCCCCAACACAAGATGGCAGCAGGATAGGGACCCTAGTAGGAAGGCCAGCAAGTATAATGTAAGCTTAAGGCAGGGCTCGCCGCGTCCTGAGAAGGAGTGCCCCAAAACTGCACTGGGTCACATGAATTAGCATTGTTATCTTTGTGTAGTGGTAATATTGTAGCCTGTGAGGTTGAACTGAGGCGTAGTCATTGCTGGTTGAAAGCTTTTCTTAATACCCTGCTCTAGTAGCTTGTGATACAGCTGTTGTGGGCAATTTTTGGTAGCCTCTATGGAGGCTAGGATCTTTTCTGAGTTTGAAAAACAAAAAAATTCAAAAGGTGGCTGTTTGTCTTATTCTTCCTTTCTAGCTTGCTTCTGTGGCCATATGGCTGAGGGTAAGTGGGTCTCTGGGTTATCCAATCTCCAAGTCTGTAGGCTTGGGTCTGTATATAGCATACCTGCTAAAGGTTTTGGAAGTGTCTGAAGCTCTGGGTATGCTGTATGTGTGTCAAATGCTGGCAATTTTCTGTGCACCAGCAAGCTTCACCAAGACTCTCTCCTTGCAGTGATAGCTTTGGAAACAACAATGAGAGCAACAAAGACAGGGAGTAAGCGGATAATGTAAACCCTAACAGCTGGGTGAAAACTAAGAGACTGTGTTATGGAAAGGACTGCAGATGGGTGCATGGGAGCGCTGGGGTGCAGATGCGCATGGGTGATCATTGTAATGGGTGCACGGGTTTTAAATGTGTTTTAAGTTTTCTGTAGAAATGATTATCGAGGATGCTGTATATTTAACTATATAACTATAAAACTATAAAGTATATTTTTCAAAACAAACAAAAAAATATTGCTTTGCATGCAGTCCCCAAAAGATGCATTGGCAGAGTTTGCCTCTTTCTCCACTGTGGCTGATGAAGCTACTGACCCTCAAGACTATGTGCTGTACATTTTATTTGTACCAGGGAGCTGGACAGACTGGGACCTGCCTGTGTTTCAGACAAAGCCAGTGCACCTCACATCTGTCAATTTTTCTACCATGTCTCAGGTCATGGTGAAGGTAATTGTGAGCAATGGTTTAGAATTTAACAAGATGTCAGCATTCCTGTCCAACAATGTCATGTGCATGCACAAGGCTTTCTCTGATGTGCTCCAAGGAATGCTGCCCTATGCAGCTCATGTCACCTGCAGTACACACATTCTGTCTTTAATAAGTGACGTCTGGAGCACACAGTTCCCCAATGTGGTGTCTTGGTGTCTTCTTTCAAGAAAGCCTTCAAGCACTGTCCAGGCTGTAAGGTGCAGTACAGCGAGTCCATTGACAGTCAAAGTGGGTACTCACATGGCATTGTGCTGCCGCCACCAGAACTTGTGCTCACAAGTTGGAATTTGTGGCTCAATACAATCTGCTACCATGCCAAGTTATGCAGTAGTACCAGGAGTTTGTGAGTGAGGAGCTGGAAATCATACCCGGCACATGGTTCATTCTTAAGCTTCATGATCTTTTAAGGTGAGGTGACATTCAAGATTGAGTGACATTTGTGGGTGACAATGCCACCCAGTTCATGGAGCTTCTAACATGGTTCAAAGGCCAGCAGGCTGTGATCCACCATGCACACAAGCTGATGGATTTGATAAGCTGGGTCAAACAGCACATCACAAGTACTGTCAAGCTGTCCTTGTGAAAACCAGGGGACACAGGAACTGTTCAGGGCAATAGCTGTGAAGCTGAGCCAGTACTACAAGTATGACCTGTCTCTGCCACTGTGGCTCAGACCACCAGCTGCCTCCTTCCTTAGTTCTGTTTGCATTTTGGACCCCAACCAGGTGCCTGTTCTGAGTTGTGTCCCTCAGCCAGTGAAAGCAGTCTCTGGATGGAAAGAGATCTCTGGATGCTGGGGGTATGGAGTGGGGTCCAGGAGAAACGGGCTGTGGCTCCCAGAGAGGACAGGTTACTTAGGTGACCCATAATACCCCAGCAGCAGGGGTTGGCTGGGCCTGAACTGGCTTTTTCCCCCACTTGCACCCTTGCCTCAGGGTAGGAAGGCCAGTGGGGAAGTGGCTAAGTGCAGCATGGACTTGAGGTGGGGCTCACTGTGTCCTGAGAAGGAGTGCTCTGAAACTGGGCAGGGTCACATGACCCACTAGTGTTATCTTTGCGCAGTGGCAGTATCATAGCCTGTGAGGTTGAACTGAGGCATGATTGTTGCTAGTTGAAAACTTTTCCCAATGCCCTGCTCTGAGAGCTTGAAATATAGCTTTCATGAGCAATTTTTGGCAGCCTCTGCTGAGGCTGATATCCTTCCTGTGGCTGAAGAATAGAGCAGCAGACTCATTCTCCTGGGTCTCTTTTTTGTGTTGAATGTGTGTTAGGGTTTTATTTTTGTGCTATGCTTTAAATGTCTTTAGTTCTGTATTTTTGTTCTCTTTCTTATAATTTTGTAGTCTGGGGGAGCCTGCGTGTCTGATTCTTCTTAGCTCAGTGTATGTGGGTACATTGGATTATGTCAATGGTCTCCCAGCTTTTTAAGTAGAAGATCACCTTTGTCATTTAAAAGCAACCCAAGATCTACCATATGCTGCTTCCACCCCCTCTCCTTCCCCAACCCAGCAGGTAAGTCTGTGGGGAGGGAAAAGGGGGGCAGATCAAAGCAGAGGGAGAAAAAATTAATTGGGGGTGCGCCTCCCCAGCAAGTAAGTCCTACCTAGCCGGGGCCCCACTCAAAGTATCCCTGCTCTGTGGCACTGTCCCTCACTGTGGGGGCCTCAGTCTAGCCCCTGCCCCTTCCCTCCCCCACAGACTGACTGGCTGGGCTGGGGTATGCATGTGCATGTACACAAGCACTCAGCCCCCCACCCCAGCCTTGGATCAACTCCAAGAGGCTCCAAGATATACCAGTGGACCCACACCACACTGGTTTGTGACCACTGGTCTATGTGGTACTCTTGCAGACCCTTCTTGCATATGTTCTTGTGTTTATCAGTAGTCTCAAGGGGGACTGGCCTTTGCATACAGAGGAACAGCTTTGTTGGGTGGTGGCATACTTGTGCTTGCAGGCAGGGTGAGATGAGGGAAGGAGCTGGGCGGGGGTAGGTGTATCTGTTACAGTAGTTCCCCAGGATGTGGGAGAAAAACATTAGCCCCTACACTGAAATGGGAGTTACCATGCCTTTCTGCAAGCCAGGAGCGTTGTGTTGGTGGTCAAAGTGGCTGGAGTGGCAGTGGATGTCATGGATGGTTTCTGAGCTGGGGTGTGGCCTGGGGCTCCCATTCGGGAAGGACCATTTGGATCCACACCCTTTCAGGATGTCTTTGCCTAGGAGCCTGTCTTTGAGGCTCTAAGTGGCCAGAAGAAGATGGCTTTTGCTGCTGTTCAGAGCTCCAAGTGGGCAGACAGTGTGTCTAAGAGTCTGGACACTAGTAACTTAACAAAAGGGACTTAATGGTGGGTGTCTGCTACAGACCACCCAACCGGGGGGAAGAGCTGGACCGGGAATTCTCAGGTCAGCTTGTGGAGGCAGTTAAGTCAAGGGACATAGTCATCATGGGTGACCTAAACTATCTGGACATCTGCTGGGAGGAGCAGTCAGCCAGGTCTGACCACTCACGTATGTTCCTAGCTGAGTTACAGGACCTCCATCTAACCAGAAGGTGCACAGTTCTTTGTTGGACCTGGTCCTGGCCATGGGCGATGACCTGGTGAGAGGACTGCAGGTTCTCGACCACCTGGGCGACAGCGATCATCGCCTGCTGGAATTCACCATCCAGTGCACCGTGTCAAAGGCCTGCAGCAAGAGAGCAGCCCTGGCCTTCAGGAGGGCGGATTTCAATGAGGTAAGGAGAATAGTTGGGGAGGTACTGAGGTCCCGGAGGGGAGGGGAGTTGGGAGTCCAAGGAGAGTGGTCCTTCCTTAAAGAGACGATCCTCCAAGCCCAAAGGGTGACAGTCCCAGCGTGGATCAAAGGAGTCAAGAGTGTTCAAAAGCCCCCATGGCTCACCAAAGGCATCCAGGAATGTCTCAAAGCTAAAAAGGAGGTGTACACCCAATGAAAGGGAGGGGCCATCACCAGGGAGGATTATACCTCCATTGCTTGAGATTGTAGGGGGGCTGTTAGGAAGGCTGAGGCAGAAATGGAACTGGGACTACCGACCCGGATCCAAGATAACAAGAAGTCCTTTTTTAAATACATAGGGTGTAAAAAGAAGGTACCGGGTAATGTGGGGCCTCTGCAGGACACGCTTGGCGATCTGGTGGTCACACCAGATGACAAAGCTAACCTCTTTAACAAATTCTTTGCCTCCATTTTTCTGAGCAGGGACCGAGACATCCCCCCCACTGGGATCCTGGGCGGACCCAGGGGAGGCGCAGCCAGGCCCAGGGTCAGTGAGGACCTAGTCAGGAAACTTCTGGTGGGACTAGATGTGTTCAAGTCAGCAAGTCCTGACCATCTCTACCCCAGAGTGCTGAGGAAATTGGCAGAGGTCATTGTGGGACCCCTGGCACAGCTTTACAAGCACTTGTGGTGCTCTGGCGAGGTGCCAGAGGACTGGAAAAGGGCCGATGTGGTCCCCATTTTCAAAAAGGGGAGGAAGGAGGACCCAGGAAACTATAGGCCCATTAATCTTACCTCGGTCCTGGGAAAGCTCTTTGAGAAAATTGTCCAGGAGCACATCTGCAAGGGACCAGCAGGGGGGATCATGCTTAGGGGCAACCAACATGGGTTCATTTGAGGCAGGTCCTGTCAGACCAACCTGGTGGCCAGTTACTGCGGAGTCATGTAATGAGTAGCTGTGCAGTCAGTGTCTTGTGTAGACATGGCCACTTTGCAGGAGAAACATGATACCCTGAAACATAAAACTAGGACACCTTTGGAATGCAAAATGAGTTGTACATTTTTGTGTGTTACATATATTTGTGTACAACCAAACTGAGATGCGATCATTGCTAGTTAAAAACTTTTCCCAATACCCTGCCCTGAGGGCTTGAAACAGAGGAGTTGGTGGGCAATTTTTGGCAGTCTCTTCTGAGGCTGATGTTTTTCCTGCAGTTGAAGAGCAACAGAGCTTCCTATTTTCTTTTTTTTTTAATTACTTCTTGTGTTCTGTGTGTGTTTGGGGTTAGTGTTAGATGTATCCCACCTTGCTTCTTTGCTCTTCTTCTCTGGGCTTGTAGATTTGGGGAGTTATGTATGATTGTTCTTTCATGGTGCGGTATAGTGTGAATGCATTGGTCTCTGTGGTACCCCTGCAGGCCCTTTTTTTTTTTTTATAAGTACTTGTGTTTGTCAGCAACTTCAAGGGGGATTGACCTCTGCACTTGGGGGATTATGGGTGTTGGGAGATCTCCCTTTTTTAGTTGCACCAAATAGGAGACAAGGGAAGGGGTCGGGGGCAGGCATTCCTGCTGGTACATAATCCCAAGAGACAGGGACAAAGCTTGAGCTCCAGCCCTGGAGCGGGATCTGCCTTTGTGTTGCTACAAGGTGGGAGCCTGCTGTTGGCAACTGAAGTAGGTGGAACAAGTGGCTGAAGTGAGTGAGATGTGGTGGCCAGTTTCTGAGCTGCTGTGTGGCTTGGGTTACTATCAAAAGATGGTAGGAGAGGACGGTGAAGCAAAGATCATCTAGCTGATGAGCCACTGGCACACACTGTTCAAAGATACCACCTGGGGAAGAGAGCAGTGATGACATGAAAGAAGTTGGGGACAGCGAAGAACTAAGTGGATTGAGCGATGAGGACAGTGGAGGAGATGATGACAGTGATAATGACAATGGAGACAGTGACAGTGATAGTGACATGGACTAAAGATTAGAGACTAAGGAAAGGAACGGAGGTGGGCCAACGTATTTGTAACGGTGAAGGAAGTATGGATAGGTGTGTGCATGCACAGGAGTGAGGGTGCAAGAGTTGTAACAGGTGCGTGACAGCATGGGTATGTATATTATACATGTGATACTGTAATGGTGTATGTGCTCAAAGACTGGACAGTTATAGCGTACAAATCTCTATTTATATAAATAGAAATGTATTTTTGGGAAGAAAAAAAAATGTGTGGCTCAGGGTCCTTGCTAGGCAAGGGCCTGCTGAAATCAGGCCCATTGGTTTTGTCTTTGCCTAGTTGCCTATCTGCAGAGATGTGGGCAGGCTGAGGGAGGCCCCTTTCCTATCCTTCTGTGCTCAGAGCTGCCAGTGGTGTGTAAAGGGGTGGTTGTGGAGAAATCCCTTCTCTTTGCCACTCACTTGGGACAAACCAGGTCACCCTGGTATTTCCTGGGTTTCTTCATGGTGCTGGCTGGTTAGTCAGGTGACCCAGGCAGGTAAAATTCCTAGGGGGAGGGGAGTGGGCTGTCTTCCTCCTGGTGGGCATTTTGAAAAGTGGCAAGCAATGCACCTTCAGGCTCTGGCTTGGATGATTCTCTGTAACTAATGATCTGAAAACTAGCCAGGAGTCTAGAAATAAGTATAGGCAATTGCGTTTAATAGGATCGTTGAATCCAATATCAGCAAAGGCTCAAATTACTTTTGTTTGCTCAAAGTGTATTTCTAACTTCCTTGTACTATTCCCCCTCCCCTTGTCTCCCCCACCAGTCAATAGCGGTATCAAGTTACAGGGTGCCTGGCTGTGGTACTGGGAGAGGGGAGCAGCAGGCCTTTTTTTCCCTTTGATGGACTAGAAAAGTTGGGCTAAGCTTTTTATTTTCCTCTGGTATCTGAGGCTATCTTGGGATGCTTCAGGCTATAAGAAGCACCCAGAATCTCACAGTGGGTTAAGCATCCACAAAAACTACAAGGTCTGTATATCCCAGGGACACAGAGCCCTGACAACAACCAAACCCCGGGTGGTGGCAACGGTTACGCCAGACTTGTGGGTATGCTCCCAGATGGGGGTCGGCTGGACATATGTGCCCCAGGGGAGGCACTTGAAGCTTGGTTTTTAGTCAGGTGCAGTGAGGCGGGTGGCTTAGTGCAGGAGCGCCCCCTACTGGCCCACCACAAGTGGGGGCAGAATGGGAACCCACAGCTTGTTGTCTGGAAGGCATAATTTTGGGGAAGGAAGTTGAGCCACTGCAAACCCTTGAGCAAATGAGTCTTTAATTTGGCATCGGGTCAGCTGGACAGGGTAGCTAGCTAGGATGGCTGACAAGTATGACCACCTTACTGTGAATGGCCTGGTGAAAGAAATGAAAAGGAGAGGCCTCCAAAGAAAAAAGGGGCAAAAGAAACAGGATCTGATTAAAGCCCTGTGGGACAATGATCAGGCCAAGGGACATCGTGCCCTGGTTCTGAATGGGGCTGAAGCCTCTTCCAATGGGCCTCCAGAGGAGAACTCCAAGGAGTGGTCTCGTCCCAAGAGCTTGAACTCCAGAAGTATAAGATGGAGCTAGCAGAAAAAGAGGCACAGTGGCAGCATGGGAGCACAAGCTGAAGCTCGAGTTGCTCAGGATGGAGCAGCACAAGCTGGAGCACAAGGCCAGAGAGGTCCAGCTCAAGCACGAGTGTGAGATTTTGGTGTTCCAGATATGGCAAAACACTGGAGTCCCGGTCGATCCGGTGCAGCCGGTGCCAGCTGCACCCCAAGGTCTTCACCTCATACCAAGCCAGAGAGGATCCAGAGGTGTTCCTGAGCAACTTTGAGAAGCAAGTGAACTGATGGAAATTGAAGGAGGAGGAGCATCTGAAATATGTTACTGGACTGGTGTCAGGCGACCGGACTACTGTCCTGGATAGTCTGCCTGTCGGGCCTAACACTATGAGTCTTTTAAAGAGGCCGTGTTTCAGAGGTTTATGTTGGGCCAAATTATTTCCAGAAAAGGTTCTGTAATAGTACCCCACTGCAGGGAAAGTCTCTGACCGAGTTTGTGGCCCATTTAAAGGACCTATATCATAAATGGCAGAAGGGAGCCAAAGCTACCACCATAGAGGAGGTGGACACACTTATGGCGCTAGACCACCTCTATTTCGGATGTCCTAGGGAGATTAAATACCTAGTCAAGAACCAGAACCTCAAAACAGCCATGGTGGCTCTGTTAATTGCAGATCAGTTGTTGCTCAGTCTGGAGGGGCTGGACAAAAAGTCTCTCCACTTTGGGAGGGACCAGAAGGGGGTCCCAAAATAGGAGAAGGGTGGGCCAGTCCCAAAATGGGAGAGTGGGGCTCCCCCTGCAAAGCACTGGGTGGTCCCAGATTTGGTCACTCCCCCCAAGCTGGATAGGAGGGGTTGCTTCAACTGCGGAGAGCTGGGTCACTTCAAGGCCCACTGCCCAAACCAGAGCAACACCTGTAGGCCTGTCAACCAAGCAACAAATGTATGCACTGAGGGGGGCATACCTGTATCTACAGGATTACAAACCTAGAGGGGGCAACAGCTCCGTACAGGACAGAGGTGATAGTACACGGGAGAACCGTCACTGGGGAGGTGAACACAGGAGCCAGTGTGTCATTGCTTGATATCAACTTTGTTTTGTCCTTGGATATAGTCCCTGAAAAGACCCTTACCACAGAAGGGGTAGGACACCAGCCGTTCAAGGTACCAGTAGCCTGTCTACCCATTACGTGGAGGGACTGGGAAATGGAGTTGGAACTAGGAGTGTTGAAGTGTGCCGCTGCCCCCATACTGGTGGGGATGGATATGTTAGGACTTGGGGGAACGCAAGCTGCATGGGAAAATCTTATGAAACCCCTTCCTGTTGATGTGGTGACTCACCAACAGACCAAGGAGGCAAAGGCAGGAGGTGGGGAAGCCTCCCTGAGCCAGGTAACCCAGTTGGCTGCAGAGGCGGTGGAGGAGAAGAAAGAGAATCCCCCTGACTGTGACAGCCAGCCAGCTGATGAGGAAATAGTGACCCTGGGGTCAGGCTAAGTGACAGTCCCAGGGAGGAGCCCAGTCAATCAGTGGCAGAGGGAGCAGAGCCTCCTGGGGAGGAGCTAGAGGACATCCCTGAGGAGGAGGGTGCACCCCTTACAGGAGCACTGGAGCTCCCCACTGATTGCCTAGCTGGGCAGGAGGAGTTCAAGCAGGAGGTTCTAGTGGACCCCAGCTTGGAGGGACTCTGACGGTTGGCCCAGGAACAAGTGACAGAGTTTTTTTGTTTTGTTTTGTTTTTTGTAAAAGTGTGTGTGTGTGTGTGTGTGTGTGTGTGT